TTTCACAGCATCATCTTTCGGGATTTGAAATAGCTCAACTGGAATTCCATCACCTCCACTAGATTTGCCCGTAGTGATGCTTTCTAGGGCCCACTTGACTTTGTACTCCAGGATGTCTGGCTCTAGGTGAGTGATCATACCATCATGACTATCTGGGTCATGAAGATCTTTTTTTGTATAGTTCTTTTGTGTATTCTTGCCACCTCTTCTTAATATCTTCTGCTTCTGTTAGGTTCATACAATTTCTGTTCTTTATTGTGCCCATCTTTGCATGAAATGTTCTTTTGTCATCTCTAATTTTCTTGAAGTGATCTCTAGTCTTTCCCAATCTACTGTTTTCCTTTATTTCTTTGCATTGATCATTGAGGAAGGCTTTGTTATCTTTCCTTGCTATTCTTTGGAACTCTGCATTCTAATGAGTATATCTGTCCTTTTCTTCTTTGCTTTCACTTCTCTTCTCTTCTCAGCTATTTGTAAGGCCTCCTCAGACAACCATTTTGCTTTTCTGCATTTTTATTTTGGGGATGGTCTTGATTACTGCCTCCTGTACAACATCATGAACCTCCGTCCATAGTTTTTCAGGCACTCTGTGTATCAGATCTAATCCCTTGAATCTATTTGTCACTTCCACTGTATAATCATAAGGGATTTGATTTTGGTCATACCTGAATGGCCTAGTGGTTTTCCCCTACTTTTTCATTTTAAGTCTGAATTTGGCAGTAAGGAGTTAATGATCTGAGCCACAGTCAGCTCCCAGTCTTGTTTTTGCTGACTGTATAGAGCTTCTCCATTTTGGCTGCAAAGAATATAATCAATTTGATTTTGGTATTGACCATCTGGTGATGCCCATGTGTAGAGTCTTCTCTTGCATTGTTGGAAGAAGGTGTTTGCTATGACCAGTGCATTCTCTTGGCCAAACTCTGTTAGCCTTTGTCCTGCTTCATTCTGTACTCCAAGGCCAAATTTGCCTGTTACTCCAGTTATTTCTTGACTTCCTACTTTTGCATTCCAGTTCCCTATAATGAAAAGGACATCTTTTTTGGGTGTTAGTTCTAGAAGGTCTTGTCGGTCTTCACAAACCATTCAACTTCAGCTTCTTCAGCATTATTGGCCAGGGTAGAGACTTCGATTACTGTGATATTGAATGGTTTGCCTTGGAAACAAACAGAGATCATCCTGTCATTTTTGAGATTGCATTCAACTACTGCATTTGGGACTCTTTTGTTGACTCTGAGGGCTAGTTCATTTCTTCTAAGGGATTCTTGCCCACAGTAGTAGATATAATGGTCATCCAAGTTAAATTCACCCATTCCAGTCCATTTTAGTTTGCTGACCCCTAAAATATGAATGTTCACTCTTGCCCTCTCCTGTTTGACCACTTCCAATTTACCTTGATTCATGGACCTAACATTCCAGGTTCCTATGCAATACTGCTTGTTACAGCATTGGACTTTACTAATCACATCCAGTCAGCATCACCAGTCACATCCACAACTGGGTGTTGTTTTTGCTTTGCCTTTATGTCTTCATTCTTTCTGGGGTTATTTCTCCACTGATCCCCAGGAGCATATTGGGCACCTACCAACCCAGGGAGTTCATCTTTCAGTGTCCTATCTTTTTGCCTTTTTGTACTATTCATGTGGTTCTCAAGGCAAGAATACTGAAATGGTTTGCCCTTTCCTTCTACAGTGGACCATGTTTTATCCTCTAGCTCAGCGGTTCTTTCCTCAGCTGTGTCCAGTCTACTGAAATCCATCAAAGGCATTCTTCATTTCTGTTAGATTTTTGATCTCTAGCATTTCTTCTTGGTCTTTTCTTAGGATTTGCACTTGTCTGCCTACATTACTCATTTGTTCCTGAATGCTGTCTACTTTGTCCATTATAGCCCTTGGTATATCAGTTATAGTTGTTTTCAATTACAGGACTGATAATTCAAACATCCTTGTCATATCTGGTTCTAACATTGCTCTATGTCTTCAAATTGTGTTTTCTGCTTTTTTGGTGTGCTTTGTAATTTTTTTTTTTGATAGCCAGACTTCCTGGGAAGGAGGATGGTTGTAAATAGGCCTTTTTTTAACGTGGTGATGAGGGCTTCCCTGATGGCTTAGTGGTAAAAAATCTGCATGCCAAAGCAGCAGGCATGGGTTCTATCCCTGGGTCTGGAATATCCCCTGGAGAAGGAAATGGCAATCCACTCCAGTATTCTTGCGTGGGGAATCCCATAGACAGAGAAGTATGGCAAGCTACAGTCCATGGGTTTGCAAAGAGTTGGACACAATTTAGTGATTAAACAATAACAACAAATCTGGTGACGAGTGTTGGGGAGAGGAAGTGTGCTATAGGCTGTGTATATCTCAATTCAGTGAGCCCAAGCCTCTGCACTGTGAACTTTACAAGTGTTTTTCAGTTCTTTCTCCTCTCTTTTGTGGAGCAAGATGGCTAAGAGTTGGCTGGAACCTCTCTGAGGTCATTTAGGCTCTGATAATACCCTAGAACCTTGTCAAGGTCCTGGAGGTAAATATCACAATATGTAGGAAATCTCCATAAATGGCCCCTCTGGAGTGGTTACCCTTTACAGGTGTCCACACAGTCCTTGCAGGAATTCAATTGCAATTCAGGTTTTTCCAGCTTGGCACTGGTTGCCCTTGGACTTTCTGCTAGACATTTTCTGATATGGTAAATCCGTGATTCCCTGTATTTGCCTATCTGTCCAATACTGGCTGCAGTGGTTTGCCCTTACTTCTTTTTCAGATTCTAGAGGATTTGCTGATTTTTCAGTGTGTTCAACTTTTTACTTGTTATTAGGACAGAATGTCAGTTTTTAACCTTCTTACATTCTGGGCTGGAAACTAAAGCATTTGTTCATTTTTGAAGGTCCTTGCTTAGTGGGAATCTTAGATTAACCTTCTCACACTGCAGTGGGTCAAAAGTTATATTAGTACTGGTATTGGAATTTGTTTCAGGGAAAACCAATTTTTGCATTTTATTATTGTCTCTATCAGGTTTTAGCTTGATAATTTTTTTCTGTTCTGTTTTGGTTCTTTGAGGTTTTTTTCTCCCTTTTTTCTGAGTCTAAGCAAATAATTAAAGGCATATTTACTTTATGTTTTCCAATATGTATTTTTATTTTAATAGTGGTACATTTCTGAGAGAATAATCTGTCATGCTGTAGAAAGATGAACTATTTTCTTTGTAGCCTTTTAAAAAAATGAAGGATGTCTTAAATTCTTTGTCACTAAAGGGAAGCATTTAATTGAAACAATCTTCTAATTTCTAGAGATAATTTTAGGCTGAAATGTATATTTAAGTTGCCTTTCACATGTTACAGTTCTTTGTTTTTTCCTTTTCTGGATAGTCTTTATGCATAGGTCCCATACCTAAAGGGACCATCCTTTCGATTTTGTTATCTTTAAATGGGGAAGTTTTATTTGAAATAGCTAATTTGCTCAAGGATAGCATGCGGAAAGATTGCCAATTCAGTAACTTTCCATATGTAGTTTCACATCCAAGCTATTGTGTTCATCACCTTCTTTAAGACAAGTTTGGCCTCAGTTTTTTGTGTCCTCTCTCACCTTCAAGTTAAATAGGATATTGGAATGGCTCATAGTATATATAAATATATGCTTCTGTGTGGCTAATTATCGTCAACACAGCATACAAAAAGTGCTTCACAAATCTTTCCATATGAATGAATGGCCAAATGAACATCCAGCTGGCCTGATGGATATACTTATTAGAATATTCTAATATAATTAATACTAAATTAATGATCTTTCCTACATTATGGTTCTTCCTCTCTAATTGATCATCCCCCCTGCCACCTGCCTCTCTCTCTCTCTCTCTCTATATATATATATATATATATGCTGCCAAGTCGCTTCAGTCGTGTCCGACTCTGTGCGACCCCAGAGACGGCAGCCCACCAGGCTCCCCCGTCCCTGGGAGTCTCCAGGCAAGAACCCTGGAGTAGGTTGCCATTTCCTTCTCCAATGCATGCATGCATGCTGAGTCGCTTCAGTCGTGTCTGACTCTGTGCGACCCTATGGACAGCAGCCCACCAGGCTCCCCCGTCCCTGGAATTTTCCAGGCAAGAATATTGGAGTGGGTTGCCATTTCCTTCTCCAATGCATGAAAGTGAAAAGTGAAAGTGAAGTCACTCCTCGTGTCCGACTCTTAGCGACCCCTTGGACTGCAGCCTACCAGGCTCCTCTGTCCATGGGATTTTCCAGGCAAGAGTGCTTGAGTGGGGTGCCATTGCCTTCTCCTCTCTCTCTCTCTCTCTCTCTCTATATATATATATGTATTCATTTCCTATAATTTCTTCCTCTCCATTCTTACTGTCACTTCCTTAGTGCAGGCCAATACCATTTATTGCTTTATCATTGTTATAGACTCCGTGCTTTTAAACATGCATCCTAACCATCTGGCTACCACACTGTTGATAGAGTGATCATTCAAGTTAAAGACTACAAATAAAATACTGAGAGTACAAATAAATAGAAGCTGGCTGTAAATTTGTTTATCATGGGCACAGAGAGGCACTTGCTGAAATTAGCACACAAAGGCTGAATAAATTTTTATGTCAAACATCCAGTTCATTTCCTTCAAAGAAGAAAAGGGGATTTGCATTTCATAACATTGCCTGACTCAGTAACCAGGGAATGGCAGAGGAACGATGCTCAAAAAGAAGGGAGACTTTAAAAATTATCAAGGATAAAAAATAGAGCCTTAACTTAAATAATTTAACTCTAAATGAATAAACTTGAATGGATTTATCTTACTGGCTAATTCCTACAAGAGACTGGTGAGAACCTCTGTTATTTTGAGAAAGCTTCTTAGCATAATCAGGGATAAATTCATAGAAAAATTATTTCTAAAGGGGCCTAATATAAAAGCTCAATAAACATCAATTACTCATGGAAAAAAGTTATTGAGTTCATGCAGCAGAACAACATATGTGACTTAAAACAATTTTCACAAGTAAGCCCTATCTACATTACCTGGGAAATTTATCTCAATGAATTCTTTGAACTCCTCTAGTTTATCTTCATTATCATCAATATTAATCTTTGCTGTCAGAGTATATATATTACCAAACTTGTTCTTGAGGTGATGTGGGCTGCCTAGGCACCTGAACTGCCCCTTTACCATGATGGCCAGCCTGGTACAAAGGGCCTCACATTCTTCCATGCTAGAGGCACAAAAGATATATGGATGAAGAGATTCCCTCTCAGAAGCAAAACTTTATATTTCAAAACAGAGCTATGATTATAAGGTAACACTTATAGTAAGAAGGCTTTATATTGCAAGTGATCATTACTAAGACCATATTTAGAAAGAGGAGATTTAAAAATTCAAAGCAGTTGATTTCTAAATTTACAAGAGAAACACTTCCCTGACTTCCTATCTTCTACCAAGTCTGGATTTCAGAACTTGACTGAGTATTCTAGATTTTACCCAGGAATCAGCATTTGCTCACAGTCCCTCTTATGTACTTCATGTACTTAGACAAGTGCACTGACATATCCTTGACTCAATAATTCTCTCTTATGCACTTATGACTCTCACCCAAGTCTCCTAATGGGTCATACCTGTGGGAAGATATGATGATAGCTTTGCCACTATTACATATCCATGTAACTGTGTCCCACATATGGCGCCTGGCTACTGGGTCCATGCCAGTAGATGGTTCATCCAGGAAAACAACTGAGGACTTTCCCATTAGGGCAATAGCAGTATTCAATTTACGTTTGTTTCCTCCACTTTATTGTCAAAGAAGGGGAGAGAAAGTGGAGGAGAAAGAAGAAATAAGATTATCGTTAATTCAACAGAATTAGCTCATATATCCACAATGCTGTGTATACACCAACTCATTTTCATTGAAATGACTTTGGGGGGTATGCTTTTTAGCATTATTATTGGTAAAATATTTTTGTTTTGAGGAGATAAATAACCATAGGGATACAGGAATGAATGTGTTCTTTTTGAAATGCAAAGGCTACAGATCATGTCTGCAAAAGATTAACTTCATACAAATGTGATCGGCCTTATTTCTGATATCTGAACCCTGACAGGAAGTAAGGCTATGTCACAGTCATTGCTTCCGTGCGACAGAGTTTTCAGGTTGAGTTTACAGACATTCATGCTAAACAGCAGAAATACAGATGGGCAGTAGGCAGCTTAATAAATAAGTAGCATAATGTCTCACCTGTATGTGCAGACCAGCTTGTCAGCATAGGTTTCCATGTGCATTGAATGCAGAAAGGTTTCCACATACATGCCGATGTCTGGCTCAGGAACGCCCCGCAGCCTGGCGTACATGATCAGCACTTCCCGACCTGTCATGTGGCTCAACATGGGGTCAGATTGAGGACAATAGCCAATTCTGGACCTAATCTGAATCAAGAGGGTAATTCACAAGCAATAAACCCAAGTTGACTATTGAACATACAGTAACACGGATGAGAGAGAAAACCTGAAGTTTCTAGCCCATGCTAGCAAGAAGATGTGATACCCATAGAACTCCGAGTAAGAATTATTTCTTTTTCAGTCTAAAGAAACTTTACACCTGGAACCCACTGTAGTAAAATGGAATACTAATATCCCTCACTGGAATTTTCAGTACATATCTACTGTGCACTACAATGCACCCAAGATAACTCTTTGTTAGATGAAATTGCCTATTCAAATATCACCAGGAAAGAGCCATTCTATTAAGTCTATTAAAATAGTGTATAGAATTTCACTTCCAGTAGTAGCCAGTAACTTCTATTAAGCCAACTATTCCACAGATGAAAATTATCATATACATCATATGTATCTTCTATGGGCTTCCCTGGTGGCTCAGATGGTAAAGACTCTGCCTGCAATGTGGGAGATCCAGGTTCAATCCCTGGGGTGGGAAGGTCCTATGGAGAAGGAAATGGCTACCCACTCCAGTGTTCTTGCCTGGAGAATTCCATGGACAAAGAAGCCTGGTGGGGTCACAAACAGTCAGACATGACTGAGCGACTAACACATATCCTTATATATTGAGTTGGCCAAAATGTTCATTCACGTTTTTCCATACCATCTTACAGGAAAACCCAAACAAACAACTCAATATATATAAACACAAGAATAAATAATTTAGCTATATTAAACTAAAATGCTGCTGTACAACAAAGGAAACCATCAATAAAATGAAAGGGCAACCTACCAAATGGAACAAAATATTTTGCGAATTATATACCTGATAAGGGGTTAATGTCCAACATATAAAAGAACTCATACAACTCAACATCAAAAAGACAAACAATCTGATTTAAAAAATGGGCATAGCAGGTTGGATGCATGAGACAAGTGCTCAGGGCTGGTGTACTGGGAAGACCCAGGGGGATGGGATGGGGAGGGAGGCGGGAGGGGGGATAGGGATGGGGAACACACGTAAATCCATGGCTGATTCATGTCAATGTATGGCAAAAACCACTACAATATTGTAAAGTAATTAGCCTCCAACTAATAAAAATAAATGAAAAAAAAAATGGGCATAGGACCTGAATAGACATTTTTTCCAAAGGAGATGTGCAGATGGCCAACAGGTACCTGAAAAGGTTCTCAACATCATTAATCATTTAGGGAAATGCAAACTAAAACCACAATGAGTTTTCACCTCACAGCTGTTAAAATGGCTATTATCCAAAAGATAAGAGATAACAAATGCTGGTGAGGATGTGGAGAAAAGGAAACTCTGGTGCAGTGTTGGTGAAATGTGAACTGGTGTAGCCACTATTGAAAACAGCATGGAGATTAAAAAATAGAAGTATCATATGACTCAGCAGTTCCACTCCTGGGTAGGGAAAAAATGAAGGAAGGAAATAAAAATGCTCCCTAACTCAAAAAGATATCTGTACCCTTACGTTCAATGCAGCATTATTTACAATAGCCAAGACATAGAAACAACCTGTCTGTTGATAGATGAATGGATAAAGAAGGTGTGGTATATCTATACAATGGAATATTACTTTAGACATAAAAGAATCTTATTTTACTTTACTTCATTGAAGAATAAATCTTTGAACCTTTCTCAGAAATTATGATTGTTTCAGTTTTTTCTATTCTATTTCTTCTGAGGTCAGTTTTAATAATTTGTATGTAACTAGAAAATTAGTTTTATTAAAGATTTAAATTTTATTTGCATGGAGTTGAATCAAGTACTTTGTGTTTCTTATAATTTCAATGTATTTGTGTTCCCTCTCTTTTTTAATAAGTTCATCCAGTTCTTTATTTTTACAAAGTTATAGTTGTTTTGACTTATTGGTTATTTGGCTGTATGTTTTTATATATTAATTTATATACTTGTCTGCATTTATACTTTTATATGATTTCCTTCCATTAATTTTTTTCTGAGACAGGTGTTTATAAGCTGTTTGTTTTTATTCTTTTTAAAATTTAAATGCATATATATATGAGATTATTTTTTATTCAACTGTAATCAGAGAATATGTATTTTTATACTTGGAAATACTATTTTTCAAATGTATGGCATAAAAATATTCATGCTCTTAAATGAATTATTTTTGAAAGGTGTAGAATTTGATATGTATCAATCATGTTTACCATATTGACTATTGACTATGTTGCTTATGTATTTTTTGTCTGTATTTAGTTTCTACTGACATGGTCTGTCTTAGACTAAAAGAAGAGAATTAAACATTTCATATATTGGGTTGGCCAAAAAGTTCCTTCTTTTTTTAAAGTAAAAACATTTTCCATTTTTACCAAGAACTTTATTGGACAATGTATTCACCAATTTGTTCCACTACCTTCTGTTATTTTTCAAGAAACTTCATAATTCCATCTTCCCAAAACTTTTAATTTTTTTGAGCAAAGAACATTTCCAGGTGCCTTTTACAGTCTCCCAAGGACTTGAAATTTTTTCCATTAAAAGAATTTTTTAAAGACTGAAATAAATGAAAATCTGAAAGTGCAAATCTGGCGAATACCATGGGTGAATCAGAACTTCCCAGCTAAGCTATAACCACTAGTTTTTGCCTGGTTATCCAAGAAACGTGTGGTCTTGCATTATCCTGATGGAAGGTTATGCATTTTCTGTTGCCTAATTCTGGATGTCTTTCATGGAGTTCTGCCTTCAGTTGGTCTAATTGGGAAAAGAACTTTTTTGGAATTAATCATTTGGTTTTCCAAAAGGAGCTCATAAAAGAGGACTCCCTTCCAGTCCCACCATACACACATCACCTTCTTTACATCAAGACCAGCCTTTGGTGAGGTTGGTGGTGGTTTATTTCACTTGCCCCAGATCTCTTCTAGTCCACATTATTGTACAGTATCCATTTTTCATCATATGTCACAATTTGTTTTAAAAGCAAAACATCTTCATTACATTTTTGTAGAGAATCACATGCAGAAATATGATCAAGAAGTTTCTTTCTTTTTTTTTTTTTGCTTAACTTACATGTAACCCAAACATCAAAGCAATTAATATAATCAAGCTGGTGGGAATGATTTTCAACACTTAATTTGGTTATTTTGAGTATGTTGGCTGTATCCCCCATGGTACAACATTGATTGTTCTCAATTAATATCTTGATTTGATTGCTATCAACTTCAACTGGGCTACCCGACTATGGACCATGAGAGATCTTCAGTATGAAACTTTGCAAACCACTTCTGACAGTTAAAAAAAAAAATCTAGAAGGCTTTTATTATCTCTGCCCAGGGAGATAGAAAGGACTTAAATATTTTCTGTAAAGGGGAAGATTCCCATTAAAATTAAGTTGTTTTGTCACAGGAGGCAAAGATATCAGATTACGTTTGGTGCAAAATTCTATAGTTTTGCTAATTTACCAGGAGATATAATTTATTTTCATTTAAGATTTTTACCGCAATCATGTTTCCATGTTGCAACATAGTTTTTGTAATTTTCACAATTTTTCCTGGTTGTTTTTTCTCTCTTCAATCTTTATTTTTCCTTAATATACATATTTCACTGAAGTATAGTTGACTTACAATGCTCCAAGTACACAGCAAGGTGATTCAGCCAGACATATACACATTTATTATTTTCCAGATTTTCTCCATTATAGACTACTAGAAGATATTGACTATATTTCCCTGTGCTATACAGTAAATGTTTGTTGCTTGTTGCTTGTCTATTTTTTAAATTATAAATCTAGCATTCTATTTATACTAAGTCAAACAAGTGATGTCAAATGTCAAAATTTTTTAGTTAGTCAAAAATTTGTAAGTTTTCTAAGATATATGTATATTATACATACTATTTATATATATGTAAACAAAAGCTTTTCTACTACACTTGGTAAAGGTCTGAGAAAGAACATTAAAAAAAAGAGGAGATGAAGAAATTGGAAAACAAACTAAACGAAACAGAATATGAATAGAAAAAGTGAAACAAACTAGATAAAAGTAAAAGATCATCATATAGTCCAGTTGTTTTTTAATATGATTACTAATTAGAAACATATCTGAAGATTTGGAGGAAAAAATTTGTATTTTTCAAAAAGTTCCAAGATAATTTTGATATGCATCTGGATTTCAAGAAGTGATTATAGGTTTTTCTATTAAATCGTAGTTTTGGTTTATATAACATTCTCCTATTTTTTCTATTGACCAGTCATGATACAATGGTAAGTGAATAATAGTAGCACAATCACAATAGCAAAAAATGTTTATCAGTTTTCACAATCAACTGCCAGATGAAAAATAAAAGACAATTATAATTGCAAACCACAATGGGAACATGATTAACCTAACAATATAAAATAATTACATACAATTTGGGGAGGTGTCAAGCAGTGATGTGGTAAGTGGAAATGCATACATGCACATGTTTTCATGTACATATGTCTTTTGGTTGGTGCATCTAATCCATTTACATTTAAGGTACTTATCCATGTGTATGACCCTATTACTGTTTTCTTAATTGTTTTGGATTTATTTTCTGTAGAGCTTTTCCTTCTTTTGTGTTTCCTGCCTAGAGAATTCCTTCAGCATTGGTTGTAAAGCTGGTTTCAGTTCAGTTCAGTCCCTCAGTCATGTCCGACTCTTTGCGACCCCATGGACAGCAGCATGCCAGGCTTCCCTGTCCATCATCAACTCCCGGAGCTTGCTCAAACTTTTGTCCACTGAGTCAGTGATGCTATCCAGCCATCTCATCCTCTGTCGTCCCCTTCTACTCCTGTCTTCAATCTTTCTCAGTGTGGTGCTGAATTCTCTTAACTTTTGCTTTTCTGAACAGCTGTTGATTTCTCCATCAAATCTGAATGAGAGTCTTGCTGGGTAGAGTATTCTTGGTTGTTGGTTCTTCCCATTCATCAGTTTAAATATATCATGCTATTCCCTTCCGGCTTGTAGAGTTTCTGCCAAGAAATTAGCTT